GTTCCTTGGCAAGATGGAGCTGCCAGTGGCAGGCAGGGAGGGACGGCTGGAGCAGAGCCATGGTGGGGTCTCTTGATGCTGCAATCTGAGCAATGTGAACCAGATTCCAGTGGGGACTCAAGTCATTTACCGGGCACATGGCCTCATAGCAACCATAATGGACTGCACCCCTCCCTGTGGAAACTGACAGCACCCCACGTGCCAGGGTCCGCACTGTCCCCAGCCCACAGCCACACAGCAAGGCACTGGCAGAAGCAGGGTGCCTGGCTCTCTCACTCTCTGCTCTCCACTCTTCTTCCCCCAGTTCTGCCCAGGGGTCACCTTGGAGGCCAGCAGACTTACAGTAGACAGTAGTGCAGACAGAATGCCATGGGAGAAACTCATCCCCTTTAAACTGGGAGGGGAGCCAGGAAGACTGGCGAGTGGAGATGACATTTGAGCCTTAGAAGGATCAGGTGAAGTGGGCAGCAGCAAGACTTATGTACCAGGCTTCGAGCAGTAGAGTATTTGCTTGAAGTGAAGTCTTAGCAGGCTTCTCCACACAACAGGAATCTGTAGAGCCAGGGGGACCTGATGCCGGAAGAGGGTTGGGAAGATGAGACACTGCCACGCTCAGGCTGAAGAGTCCAGGTAGGAGAGGACGGTTGCCTAATGCAGATGGAGGCACTAAAGCCACAGGACTTGGTGTAAACTCGTGTCAAGCCTGACATCAAGTTTCCCCATGTGGGAGAAGGAGCGAATATAAGCAGGGCCGGCAGAAGTTAAAGGGAAACTACTGCTGTTTAGTGATTGACTTTTCCAGCCCCACCTTATCGGTGAAAACACCAAAGGCACAAGTCAGCTGGCACGCTCTGTGAGGGGCGGGAGGCCCTAGGGAGGCATTGGTGGGCAGTCAGTCTGCATGTGGTCTCCTCATGCAGCCTCCTGCCAGCAGCCCAGTCCTGACACCGGAAGTCACAGAGTAGAGAATACATGTCACCTCTCCATCAGAGCTGGGCACTGCAAGGGATGTCTGCCTGCCACAAGGACAGGCTGCATCTGAGGCATCTGCAGAGACACTAAGGGAGGGAGCTGTCCCAGAGGGTTTCAGGATGGCCACTGGCCAGAGGGGGCTCATCAGAGCCCCAGAGGGACAATGGGAGTTTGATATGCTGAACAGTTGGTGGTGGAGGAGGGGATCCTCAGGAAACAGGTTCTGCAGCCAGAGCAGTGAGGAAGGATCCAGATTCAGGAAGCCGGGAGGACAGGGGAGAGAGGAGCTAGGGGAGCTGTTTTTCCAGGGTCTTGGCAGGGCCCTCTGGGATGGGGTCTTGGTGCTGCAGGACCTGGGCTGCCCTTGGCTGTCACCTTCAACCCCGCACTGCTGCCGTGGACCCCTTCCTCTTGCTTGCTTTCTAGTCTTTGTTAAGGAGACCCCACTTGGGAGGCTAGCAGGGACTCCCGAGAGAAGGCAGAGGTTATCACACTAAGGTGTCCTGTCTAAACTTACCCTACCCAACATCAGGCCACCAGCATACCCAGGTCCGAGACTCCAGGAGAGGGGCAGACACTGATGCCTGACCCTTCCTGACATTTCCCCTCCCATGCCCAGCATGGGCCATGCTGGCTGACTGCTGAGCAAGCTGGTGTAGAAGTGGCTTCTAGAGGCCTGAGCCCTGTGCCCTGCTGCCTGCCAGCAGTCTGTGTGTCAGCCTAAAACCCGTGAAAAAGTCTCTCTCAGGTCCAGGACTGTGTCTGGCTGCCCAAGCACAGGACAAGGAAAGCCAATGGCTTCCTCCAGCCAGTGCTGGAGCGCAAATTTCATGGGCAGCTCTTGGGTGGTAGGCACCCAACTTCCAGCAGGGTTAGGCAGGAAAAATGAGAGAGAGCTTCATAGTCCCACAGCCACCCTGCCCTGCCCTCAGGCTGCAGATCGGTTCCCCCTTTCCACCCTGGTGCCACCGCAAGTCAAGCTGGAAGAATGCACCAGGGAAGAGTGAGGAGCCCAGAAGGGGGTCCGAGCATGTTGGGTGGGGTATCCGTGGAAAAGCTGGGGTCTCCCTGGGTGGGAGCGGGCAGAGGAAGAAGATGTTGCTGAAACATCGGCACACCCTGGCCAAGGCGGCCATGAGGACCGGCCGTGTTTGCCATCCTCTGCACCTGCTCTGTAGTATGCAGTGCTCTGGGAACCCACACTTGCTGAGATTTGCTCAGACGTGAGACCTGAGCAACCTCCAACCCCAGGTCCCTGTAGGAACAAGCGCCTGCACCCTGAGCACCTGTGCCACACACGTGGGGCGAGCTTTATACTCTTCACCAGTGCCCATGATGGACACCCAGTAGACGGCAATGCTCATCATACGGATGCGGAGACCAAGGCTCAGAGGAGCTGACCCATTGGTCACCAGATGACACCCCCTGGACATCAGTCAGCCCTCTCTAGAGGACAGGCATTCATCCCTCAGAGCCTGCCTTCCAGTGGGGAGGGCAGACGAGGAGTAACAGAAGTGCAGACCAGGCTGTTGTAACAGGAGATTGTGACCGGTGTGCAGGGGACGAGGAGAGAAAGCCTCGGGTGAGCAGAGGGGCTTCTGCTTTAGGGAATCTGGGGAGATCTACCTAGTGACAAGAAGGAGCTGTCCCTGTGGGAAGGGGGGGTCTAGGATAGAAGAAGTCAGGTGAGAATAAAGAACAGGGAGGAAGGGGGAGGCAGAAGGTTGCATCACATTCCTGTGATGGATGATGGGATTCATCTCAGCAACGGCCTACTTCTTTTTTGTTTGTTGTGTGTTTTGTACTAGGAATGGAGCCTTGTGTACGCTAGCTAAGCTTGCACTGCATCACTGGGCTGCACCCCAGCACTGCGTTCCTTCTTTGAATACAGTCCCTCTGCTGCCCAGGACCTGGTGTCAGTGGGCTCCCTCCCTCAGTCGGCTGACAAGCGCCAGCAGCCGCCCCCGCCCTGTCTAACCACTGAAACTTCTCTTTGGTCACAGGTTGCATATTCATCGAAGAGAACTTTTCTTTGAAATGTCCCAAACATAAGGTAGGTGACCACTAGGACCCTATTCCCTCCTTTCCTTTACAAGCCCCTCCCTTGACCTGCAGACCCCAGCAGGGCCCACCCAGGAGTGCCCCTCCCCAGCCTACCTAGTCCAGCAGAGGGGCAGGTAAGCCCAGGCAGGTCAGAAAGGTCGATTTGTCCATCAGACAGGTCCCTAGGGAGCCCTCCCTTGTGGGTGAAGAACCAAGAGCCATTCCTGGGATAATCTCCCATAACCCTCTCCAAATGGGACAGGGGGAGGACAGGCGGGGGTGGGAGGAGGCACGGGACCGGGCGGAGGACACGCTGGCGAAGGGGGACAGAAGGAAAGCAGGGGAGGGGCCCATTGCTTTTACTGGGTAAAGACCTCAGCTGACTGCAGCAGGGCTAGGGGGCGGAGCCTTGTGGGCAGGGTCGTAGCAGGGGCGGGATCAGCACCTCTTGGCTGTTGGCTGTCGGAGACCTAGGCTAACCGGCTGTCTGCTGTTCTCTTGCAGAGGCTGCCGTTGTAATCCACCAGCAGCCGAAGGAGCCGCCGGAGCCCGCCTGCCGCCTGCCGCCGAAGGAGAGGAGCCTCCTGGAGTTGCTCCCAGCGTGCGTCCAGAGCTGATCCTTGATCCGGGTGCCGGATCTTGGATCCGGCCGCTGAGGGCCCAAGAGTGTGGCCCCGGGTTGGGGAGAAAACCTGTTCCGGTGTGCCCTGCTCCCGGAACCGGACAGCACAGGGCTTTTTTACCCACAGCCCTGGAGCCATGCTTGCAGAGGGGAAGGCGTGGAACAGCCAGACTCCTCCAGGCACCCAGTCTTCGGCGGGAGTGGGAGAGGCTTTGGCCTGGGGACACTTTTTTACCCCAGAAGTCCTAGGATGACGTGGCACACATTCCTCGAGGGTGCTGCCGCCACCCCAGTCGGTTGTGGCAAGTGGCTGGGCCCCTGGGGTTAGGGGTGGGGTTTCAGATGACCCTGGAAGAGGCGGAGGGTGGCTCCAGGCTCCCCGGATGAGGTAGAGGAACCAAGGCCTTTTAGGAGAGGGCCAGGTGGGCGGGGGAGGGGGCCGAGGCTTTGGAGCAAACCTTTCGGAATTTGTCCAAGCATGCTTCCCACCCAGCCTTTGCCAAAGCGTCGCGCGGCTTGGGCAAATCTGGGGTAGTTGTGGGCCTGCGCTCAGCGGACGCGGCTCCCTGGGTGCGGACGGGATCGGGGGACCCTTTGGCTTCTGTTCATAACCTTCCCAGTTCTCCACCCCACCCCTGGAGCCCAGACTGGAGCCCAGCAGAAAAGGCTCGACCGGACGACCCGATGAGCCCACTCCGGCGGATGCAGTGGCCTCCTTGCACCACCACTGGTCTCTTGGGATTGCAGCGCCACTTGGCACGGGAGCAGGGACAGCGCTAGATTCGTGTACAAAACCTGTGTACCCCTCTATATATATGTTACATAGAATGTATATATGTTGGGAACATGCTCGCTTCTCCCGTGTGTCGCCGCCGTGCGTCGTGTGCCCCGCAACCCAGAGCCCCACCCGGGCCCTTGCCAGGCAGGGAGCTACTGCGATGCCTTTCCCCGTGCAGCCACCACCGGCTCGGGCCAGTCCGTCCGCCTGTCTGTCCGTGTCTTCAGCTCTGTCCACGCTTCGATAGGCCTAAGGCAGCTCCCTCCCTGGGGCTGCCCTAGCAACTTCCTGTACATATGACTGTAAAATGGTAAACGTGTGTATTATACCTGGCCTCGTTATATAGTGTATATATATGTATACATATACATATATATAATATATATGAAGACTGTAAATGTTAAGACGACTAGTGTTCTTATTAGTATATTGCTTCACACTGAAGATTGTGTGTATCGAGCTGTTTCTAAAAGATGTTTATTTTCCTTAAGAGTAAAAAAGTCATTGCATTCAGAAAAAAAAAAAGTCAATAAAGAAACGACGATTGTTTTGGAAGTCTGCAACCTATGGATTCCGACCAGACCAGGCTTTAGGTGGGGTATGGGGATGGGGGGAGGCATCAGGGAAGATGGAGTTCTCCCCTTCTGTGTAGGAACAGGAGACCCTGCTGCCATTTCTCGTGACTGAGCGGGGGTGTGTGTGTGTGTGTGTGTGTGTGTGTGTGTGTGGTGGTACAAGGGTTCCCGGGTGTGCAAGGAGGTGACCAGGGGACAGCTGGTGAGGTGGTGGGGGGAGCGCGATGGTCCAGACATACAGGTTGTAGCGGTCACAACCTGCCCTTGAGGGCCCCGCCTCTGTTCCCAGTGACACCCTGGGGCATGGTGGCGGTGGCGAGAAGGGAAAACTGAAACCATCCAGCCCTAACGGCTGAAACGTGAGCTGGAGAGCAGTTCGTCCCTTTCGATGGGTGGGGGATGGGACGCTCTGGTCAGCATGGAACAAAATCTAGGTTATAAATAATTTCATTTTTTATTGTCTGTACAAAACTTCAACCTACGAAAATAAAAGTTTGCAAAAGGCAAAGAAGCTCACGAGCCCCCAAGGCCAGGAGGGGGCTCACCCGGATCTACACTATGTACAAGTCTTCCCAGAATGCAGAGAGGCGTTTCGGTGCAGGGGCCCCCTCTGCTCAGGGAAAGGCGCCCCTCTCCTCTCTCTAGACAGACCAGAGAAAAAAGCCACTTAGGCGCTTGCTGAGCAAGGGGTGACAAATGCCGGCCCTAAGCCTGCTATTCCCGAGCCGGCCACCAGAGGGCAGCACCATCCTGGCGGCCGCTAGTCCAGTAAAGCGTAGGCCGCACAGAGCAAGACACAAAAGTCCCACAGGGTCTCCCATGCCCAGGGAAGCACAGCCACGGGTGGGGCGTGGAGACCGTGGGCGCCGCTGGAATCTAGCTGGAAGTGACGGTGGTTCCGCCGCCCAGGCGCATCAGCATCTGCTGGCAGTCGTGCAGCAGCCGGCGATCACCGAGCTTCTCGAGCGTGCGCGCCGCCTCGGCCAGCATTCCCACGCGCTGCCCCGGGGCCGACAGGAAGCCGGGCG